AAAAAGCTCTGGCTTATCTTTCCCCACAGATAGCAAAATGGATTAAGAGCCACATTTGGCACGTCCAGGGAACTGGACAGATAACCAGGAAAACACTCCCTCTGACTGCAATCACTGCTCAACATGATTTGTGTGTGTGTATGTGTGTCTCTCTGAGAGCAAAAAGCAGCTAATGCTCTTTGGGTAGCTTCTGCCAAGTGAAGGCATCGAACCTGCAAACTGTGTGCCTGCATGTGCGCGGCTGCACGAGCCTCCTCCATGTCCGTAGGAGTGATGCAGCGGTTGACCCGGGATCCGATCTATTAAATCACACACATTCATCTTCTGAGCGCACACGGCGTGGGCCAGACAAAGAGCCGCGTGCGAGAGGACATCCAGCATGTGTGTGATGTCAGCTGGAGACAGAGAAGGGGAGCCCATCATACTGCGTTAATGTGGGCTCCGTCCCCTGACACGGCACGCTCACTCTATGACGCCTCTGGTTATGGATGCCTGCTATGAAGATGATAGAAGAGTGAGATTCCCTTCTAAAAAGAAAATTAACCCCCTTTGCACCTCCCCTTTCTGCGCTCCCTCTTTCATAATCCTCTCACTAATAGAATAGTTTATTGTAAAAAGCAAATAATGCTCGACTGCTATTACTGATAGCGGTAAAATTACGTGCATTTCTTGAGATGAGGAGATACAAAACCACATCTCTTCTACATTTAGCAAATCGCTGCAGAAGAAACACTGTTTGGAAATAGGAAGCTGAAGTAAAATGGTGTGTTAGGTATACTGGGTGTGAAAGGTTAATATATAGAAAATAATAAGTATTAGGGATGTAATATTGCATCCAGCTAACTAGACACAGTCAAGCACTAAATTGGATTCACAATCATCATTTTTGTTTATCACAAGAGTGAAGGTTTGAAAACACAGACTATAAGTTATGCTTTTTTTCATAGCTTTTGCTGGTTTATCAACATAAACAGATGCATTTGATCAGTTAGATTCAGCATCAGTAGATCAAAAATTCACAAAGAAAGAAGAGAAATTCCCTACAAAGTTCTGAGCAGGGCTCTTCTTGTTATCCTTGTCTAATTCTGAGCCTCAAATTGTGAATGACTCTGTAAACAAAGCAGAGAAACCTGAGAAGTTCTTCTTTTCTGTCTTCCGAATAAGAATCTACAGCAGCTATAAAAAATGGTGCCACGGTACTCTAGACTAACTTTTCTCACTGGTGGTGCTGTGTTTACTAAAGAACTTTAGTAAACAAAGTTCTTCATTCGAAGCAGAATTACTGAAAAGGTGTTTAAAGAGCCTCTAAAACTGAACATTTTAAGGTAAACGTCTTACCACGTTCAAGTAATTAGTCAGCCATTTTATTCTCCCAGCGTTTGCAAATTGTACATTGTTTGTCACAGTTTCTTTCTATTTATACCAAGTACCTCCATTTAAAATTGGTTTGGTGACATTTAATGTCTGATGACAGCAGCTGAGAGCATCAGAACAACAATGCAACTCATGAACTTCTTTCGCTCTTACTTCAAACGAAGAAACAGGGTGTCGAGCTTAAAGCACTCACTTTAATGTCTCGTTACACCCTTACGGTGTTCACATTTAGATTTAAACCATAGTTGTTCAAATGATATACTCCTTTTCATGACATTGGCCACTAACAGTTAGCCAGTGGTGGCATTCTTGCAGTGCTTACAATCGGTCTTATATGGCATGGTTTTATTTATTTATTTTTGTTCTACTAAATATTAGAAATGCTTTTTTTAATGTTGATGATCGTTAGACTGTCAACTCAAGGAAATTCTAAAAATTCTTCCTGAGAGTTTTAGTTTGAGGAAGAACAAGGTGTAGAGCTTAAAGCACTCACCCTCAAACCTGGAGGTCATAATAGCAGCTTACACTTACTTCATCAGGTGAAGTCACGTTCTGCCAGAAACCGGATAGGACTTCAATATGAAAGAGTTTCACTCTGGGATGGAATAATGTGGCGTTTCGATCTCTTTACACACCTGATATTTATGTTTCCCAGTCTGCACATGCATGTTTTCTGCTCTTTAATTTACTGTGTAAGGTGTTAATTATATGATCCCCATTTAAATCATCTCACCTTCTTTGACTGGCTGACACCACACAACAGAAAATAACTTTAAAAAAAGGCACCATTTTCATCTATTCCTGCATGCTTAGCTTCTAATCAGGCTGGCCGTCTCCCCCGTTCTCTGTCTATTAGAGGCAAATCTCCTTCTTAATGGATTTCTATTGTATCCTCCCTCAGCCCCCTCCTCTATTCACCGCACTACCACACGCACAAACACACTCCCTCTGAGGGGGCCCCTTAACCAGGCTCTCCATATGCCTGACCTCCACCTCCTTTCTCCTCCTCTTTCCACAACCCCCTTCTCCTGCTCCTGCTCTGCCGCCGCCACCGCTGCCCCGTGCTGCCATCTGGTAGGGGCTGAAAAGAGTGACGGAAAAAGTGGAAGATGTGAGGGAAGAAAAAAATGGCAGGGACAAGTGTGGAAAGAGAGATGGCTAAAAGAGATAAAGAGGGAGAGCGGGAAAAAGAAGTAGCTGCGGACACAATACAAGAGCGAGTGGAGAGGCTGTCCATCTGCTCCCCACCTCACTTCCCCTCCCCTTCTGACACACAGCCTCCCGTACACCACAAAGAGAGTATTTAACCTCGACACACACACACACACACACATATCCAGGCATGCAGAGAGACACACAGAGAGAGAGAGAGAGAGTCTCTTTAACCCGTTCCTCTCCAGTGAGCCTGCCTGGGGTGGCAGGTGATGGGTGAATGCAGGCAGACGACGTGAGGCGAGGGGCTGGTGGGGGGATGAGGGCTGGGAGGGTGTTGGTAATTGGAGGACGGAGCGGTGGGGATGAAGGGTTGAAACCGATCTGAACCAACACCAACACGTTCTTCCCCTCCCCTCAACAAAGCTCAGAAGACGCCGGCGTTTCAGAGCCATCACTATGACAACAATCTGTCAATCATCCCCAACCGGCGGGCTTCCTAATTAGGGGGCTGATGGCTCTGGATTATGAGCGGCTGCCTGGGCTTCAAAACGCGAGGCTCAACCCACCGTCCTTACCAGCGGAGATAAACACTGACGTTGGTCCGTGCTATGCGCAGCTTGTCACGCTTTTTTAATTTTTCTGCCTGAACAATCCCACAGGCGGGTCAGAAGGTTCACTGTGTGGTTAGACGACGAGTCCAAGAGAAAACCGTCAGGAACTCTGGCTGCGGAAATGGATGAGCTTTCTCTGCCAGCTTCAAATCAAAAACCACATTTTGCTTTCTTTCCAAGCAAACGCTCCAAATGTTTAAATAGGTTAATAAACATGAACACACTATGATGTTATCTTCCATCTTGGCCAAACGTCTCCACTTACATTAATTGCAAAGATTTACGATCAGCTGAAAAAAAAAAAATCAAATAAATCTAGCAGCAGCATATAAACCAAACTAAGACAGGAGGAAGGTTTACTGTCATGCACACTCACTTCAGGCCTTTGTGGAAGAATGGCAAAAAGAAGCTTACTACAACTGAGGGCGAGCAATAATTACAGATAATGACCTGTATGAAACACGGTGGTGGCAGAATGATACCGTGGGGATTGCTGTTTAAACAGTGACAGGAAAGCTGGCCCTGCTGCTCAAAGTAAATGGGCACATAAGGTCAAATGTCACTTTTAAACCACAAACATTAATGGTTTTATTTGGATTGTATGAGATACACCAAGAAAAACAGTGCAAAACTGTAAACTGAAGGAAAATTAATTTTAAAAAATCCAACATATAAAGAAATAGTTTATGTATACGTGCTCTGTTCTTTTTAAATTCAAACTACTTAAAAACGTGTGTTCACAGACTCTCTCCATGCAGTTTGACTGAGGTTGAGAAGAAATGTTCAGTTTTTGTATTTAAAACCCAAAAGAAACAAAGTTCCACTGTGACTGAAGCAAAAAGGCGCCCCACAATACATGTTAAACGTTTTGAAAGCCATGTAATTTTTTTCCTTTCACCTCACAATCATGCAAACATGTCTTGAAATCGTTAACGCTGTGGGTTGCAAAAGTTTGAGGGGTGTGAGTGCTTTCGCATTTCTCAAAGTCTCCATAAACATTTCTTCCAACGTTCCTGCTGATGTGATTGTGACGATCAATGAAGCGCCTCAAAGTGTGTGAGAGGAAGCCGGTTCAGACGCCTACCGAGGGCCTCTTTTACCTTGTGAGCCACTTGAGTCGCAGCGCAAACAACAGAGCGGAACACGACTCTGCAGCATGTTGACAACATGACACCGTTAGTCCTGCTGGGCCTGTCGCGCTCAACGCCGTGGAGATGGCTGTCAGGTTTGGACACACACACAGCACCGTGTAGGTCAACACAGCCCGCAAACACTAGATTCCCCCAAGGACCTGTACATACACAGTGTCACATACACCAGAAACCAGTATAGTGTGGGAAGGGTGATGGGGGATGATCGGGGAGGAGGAGGTGAAGGCTGTGACCCACAAAGGCTGATTTCATTAAAGGAGGGAATAGGAGAGGAAAGGAAACAAGCGATGAGTGGAGGGGACTGGAGAGGTCTCCGAGTCTATGACCACAAATGGAGAGGGCAGACACCAGCTGTCACTTGCTTGTGTCAGCCCTATTCTCAGCTGCTGTGTGTGTGTGTGTGTGTGTGTGTGTGTGTGTGTGTGTGTGTGTGTGTGTGTGTGTGTGTGTGTGTGTGTGTGTGGGTGTGTGTGTGTGGTGTGTGTGTGTGTGATCTCAGTCAGAGTGGTTTCAGTTACAGCAAACTTTGACTCTTTGTAAATGTAGCTGGAGGCGACGATCAACAAAAGCTACGGATTGAGATGTTAGGGTGGACAGAAGTGTGTTTTTCACTTAAACCCCATAAAGTGTACACAGCGTAGCCTACCTGGTGATTTATTACTGACTCTAAGTGAGTAAAGAAGAAACAGGAGGAAAGGGGGGGACTTACCCTTTTTCTCGGGGGACCTCGTTCTTCGTCCTTGGGGCCCCGCCCTGATCCTGCCCCGCCTCCTGTCCGCCCTTGTCGTCCCCCTTTGCCCTCTCCAGCCGGAGGTCGGATGGTCATCCTGATCTCTGGCGGGCAAATATAGTTCTCGAGGCTTTTGGGCGGCTTCTTGGTGCGCTTGGTGGTCTGGATCTTCAACTTGAGACTTCCCTCCTGGAAACTCGCTTCCTTGATGGAGAACTCCTGCTCCTCCATAAGCCCCTCCCCTTGGTCCTCTAGCCCCTCCCCCTCACTGGCAGCGCTGTTAATCACGTCATCGCCGTGCACCGGCCCGGCGCCTCCCGCCGCCAGTTGATGCTCCTCGCTGGGCCCTGCCCTGCCTCCCCGAAGGTCCGCCTCTTTGGGTCGGGCTGAGCCAACCAGATCCCTCGGCTCCATCCACGCTCCCGCCAGAGCCAGTCAGGATGGGGGGGCGAAGCTCTGGCAGTCGGCCAATGAGAAGATTCAGCGCAGGGGTCTAGTGGGCTGCTTGGTGCTGTCAGTCAGCTACTGGGATTGCGTCTGTTGTCCCACTGGAACGCAGCGAAGCCAGGGACAAT